TCTTTCTTGTTTTTCTTTCTTTCTTTCTTTCTTTCTTTCTTTCTTTCTTTCTTTCTTTCTTTCTTTCTTTCTTTTTCTTTCTCTTTCTTCTTTCTTTCTTTCTTTCTTTCTTTCTTTTCTTTCTTCTTTCTTTCTTTCTTTCTCTCTTTCTTTCTTTCTTTCTCTCTCTCTCTCTTTCTTCCTTCCTTCCTTTCTTCCTTCCTTCCTTTCTTTCTTTCTTTCTTTCTTTCTTTTCTTTTTTTCTGTTTAGAGAGAAAGAGTGTGCACATGAGTGGGGGGGGCAGGACAGGACAGAGGGAGAAGGAGAGAGAGAATCTTAAGCAGACTCCATGCCTAACCTGAAGCCCAAAGTGGGGCTTGATTTCATGACCCTGAGATCAAGAACTGAACCTAAATCAAGAATTGGTCGCTTAACCAACTGAGCCACCCAGGCACTCCTTGTCAGGCATATTTCTAAGCAATTTGCATGTAGTAACTGATTTAATTTTCACAACAACCTTCTTTATTACTCGCATTTTGTATTAGGATTTTGAGAGAAATTGCCAGTTTCTGAAATCAGTTTAGATTTTCAAAAGTATGTGAGATGTGCTAAAATATTATATTGCATCTTTGTGTCAATTTAGATTTCCCTAAATAACTTGTCCAAACAATTATCAGCTTTTTGCATTTTCTTGTTTCCTATTTAATATTTATTTTTTCAGAGCAGTTTTAGGTTCACAGCAAAATTGAGTGGAAGGTACAGAGAGTTTCTGTATGCCCCGTGCCCCCACACAGGTAGAGCCTCTCCTGTTATCAACATGCCCCACAAGAATGATACATTTGTTATAATTGATGATCCTACATTGACACATCATTATCACCCAAAGGGCATATTTTATATTAGTCTCAGATTTTTTATATTGACTTTTCTCTTTTGATTAAAAATAAAAAAGGAAAATTCTGAGAATCATATAAACAGGTTCTCACCATGAGTGACACACATGTAAGCATTTTTTTATATATTTTTCTAAATGTGTACATTATAGGTAATAGTGAAATCTCTTATTCCCATGCCCACATGTATTCAGTTCTTTCACTCCCCAGTGCTAATCACAATTATGATACTGCCACATACTCTTCTGTCATAATTTTTCTTCATTCATCTGTATGCCTAGAGATTAATAAAAATCATCATGTTTTCAGTATTGCCTTAAATAGACATAAATGGCACAATACTCCTCTATATAATTTATTTATCTTAATATGGTGGACTACTAAAGTGACCCCAACTCTTTACTTCTCCCTGTATCTTTACTCTTTGCCATGTAACTTTGAGTTCCTATCATCAAGAGGTAGAAAATATACATCTTCCCCAGCCTCCCCACTCCCCACCCCTAGGATCTGAGTTTATTTATGCAAGGCCAACTTCATGGGTACATGATCCTCCAGGGTCCCATGGTTAGAAATGCCCTGTATATTGCTGCCATGAGATTCTTAGTACTTCTGAAAAAAATAATAACCCTTGTATTTTCATTTCATCACAGGCCCTGCAAATCATGTAGCCCATTCTATGACTATGTGACTTACACAGGTTTGAAAAAGCTCACCTTCTTTCCTGCTCTCCATCTTTTTGCTCTGCCATCCCTACGAGTATATGCTTGGGCCAGCTTCCTGGAAGATGGAGACAGGTGGAGCACAGCCAAGGTGCTCTAATCATCCCTAGATCAGCCAACATTCAGCTGAATGAATGAATCCAGAATCCAGATGAGTGAATGAATCATTTAACATTCAGCTGAATGAATGATTGAATCCCAGACCATTGAGCAAGCCTGGCTACCATTAGCAGAACTACTACTGCTACTGACTCATGACCCAGAAGTGTGAGCAGTAGATATTTATCATGTTATTGAATGTGGTTCTGGCTTTTCGTGCAACATTTTGTATAATATTATTTTTTGAGATTCATTCATATTTATGTGTGCAAAATAAGTTCATATATTTTAAATACATATGTAACTATCAGATAAGTATATCTTATTTATTATTTATTCACCCATATTTATAGCAAGAAAAAGTGTATTGTGGATATCCTGGGCACCAGTGAAATTGATGGGTTATAAATGATGCTATTCTCAGGAGTGCTATATGCTACCCATTTTTACTTGAGGGTTTATACCAATTTTCACTCACACCAATCATTCAAAAACATTTCTTTTCTCTATATTCTCAACAAAATTAGTATCTTCACTTATTTATTTTCATTAATTAACAGATAAGAAATGGTATTGTATTCTGTTTTAATATGTGCTAATGCTTTATTCTGCTTTATTTTTTTAAAAGATTTTATTTATTTATTTATTTATTTATTTGAGAGAGAGAGAGGGAGAGAGCACAAGCAGGGCGAGTGGCAAAGGGAGAGGGAGAAGCAGGCTCCCCTCTGAGCAGGGAACCAATGCGATCTCAATCCCAGGACCCTGGGATCATGACCTGAGTGGAAGGCAGCCACTTAACCAACTGACCCACCCAGGTGCCCCTTTATTCTGCTTTAAATAATGCTTTCAATATATTTTAATTGTTTAAGAGTAATCTTTTCAAATGTTCACTGACTATTCTAATTGAATTTCTTCCCCTATGTTTTGTTTTTTCTTTGGGTTTTTAGTTTTAATCATTTGTTTTGAGTTACTTTCAATCCATGGCTTTTCTTTTTAAATTTTTTCTCTGCGATCAGATTGTGGGAATTTTTGTTTATTGTAGATGTTAACCCTTTATCTGCTCTAGATGTTGCACATATGCTCCCCAGCCTATTGGTTTCCCCCTCATGTTTGTGGGATTCATTGCTATAAAAATGAAATTTTCATGTAATCATTTTATTCATTATTTTTGTAGGTTTTCAGATTTTTCTCTTGTGTCTCTCATATTCTGAACTTATAATATTCCTATAGTATTAAAAATTTATTTTATTTTAAGATATAAATCTGAGGCATTCAGTATTTTACAACTGTATTGCATTTTCCAAGTTTTATCACTGTTTTTTTATTTGCAAATTTATGCTGACTCAGGTATTGTTTATTTAGTATACTTTCACATCATTTTCTTCTTCAGTTAGAATATGCAGATGACATGTTTTCTGGATCTGTGCATATTTGCAAATGTCCCTTTTGTTCTCATAATTGAATAACATCTTGACAGTGTGTAGAATTTGTGAGTCCTATTCCTTTGCTATTAATTTTTATAACATGATATCGTTCATCTTACATCAGTTTTCCAGTATGTTTTGTGTACATGTAAGTACACATGTATGTATGTGTGGTGTTACATTAATCCTCCCTGACATATGATAAATCCCTGAATTTTTCATTTTAGTTTTAAATCTCTACACACTTTTAAAAATTTTATGAAAATCCATGGTTTCATCTTGGGTCTTATGAATCTGCCCTCTATAGTATAGTTTTTCCTTCAACTATTTTCAAATCTTTATTTTAGCTGTGTTTTTTACTAGGAAAATATGTTCTCTTTATTGACTAGGACTCTATTTCTATTCTTAGCAAACAAATTCTCTTTGACACATTTATTGAATTATTTATTTTCATCTGTCATCATTTTAGTTTCAGAGTGTCTTTTTCTTTTCTTGAAAAGATCTGCTCTGAAAGCTCATTAGCTTTTTTAACTTTTCTTGAAATAATGATTATTTTCTTTAACCAATTTCTTCATTCAACTTCATTAGGAACTTCTTTTAAGTTTGCCTTCCACCCTTTTGTTGTTCATTTTCCTTACATTGGATGCTGTTTTCCATTGAGTGGTCATGTGTATTTCTATTAATTCACTGATTAAGGCAGACTTTTTTGTTATTTTGTGTAGAAGCAAAAGTATACTTTTGAAGACCCAGGATGAATGAACTTGCAAACTAAAGTTTTATCCTTTTAATTATGCTTGTCAGCAATCTGTTGAATTTTCTTCTCCTAGCAGATGCCTCTAGATTCCCATTTCCACCACCTCCATTGACATGCTTAGTTACTAAAACGTGGCTCTGCCCTTGGGCCAGAATTCATGTTCCAGGTACTTGCACCTAAAGCAACCCGTGTCATCTGGCGTTGCCCTTGAATATATGTGGACTCTGAGCTGATAAATATCAGTGTTTTGTTTTGTTTTGTGTTTTTTTCTGAGAAGCTCTCTAGTTTTGTTATTTGAATTGAGGAAAAGGAAGACCTGTCTGGAATGAGAAGATGAAGCAGGTCTGGAAAGAAAAGTGGTGGTGAATGTGCATACTCTGTGAGTGCTCTAGTCCCTCTTTGATTGTGGCCTTGAACTGTCCCTTGGTGTTTGGAATCCTTGAGAAACCCCAGTCTGTTGGCAATAAATCCTGGGGTCAGATTGTTCCATAACAATCACTATCTTCTCTGTAAGAAGATCACCCTTCGGTACCATTTATATGAGGCTTGTCTGTAGGATTCGTGTAGCTTATGAAATGTGAGCAAAGCACTAATCTGCTCCTAAACAAAGGCTTTAGGAACTATTGTATGCTTCTACAATTTCTTTTCTCCTTCTGCTACAAGAAAGGCATGTTCCATGGGGTAGGAGGTATGTCTTTTTCAGGGTTCCAGAATGGAGCTGAACCTGCAATAAACTTGCAAAGAACATTCATTGTTGTTTTGAGGCATTGAGAATTTGGGGTTGTTCTGACCACAGTATAATTTCATGAAAACTAATGGAAAAAGCATATACTTTTTGTTTCTTATCAATCCATGGCTACTTGTTAGCAAATATTAACAAATTAGTAAATATTTATGCCATGAGATTTACTGATTGTTGAATCTAAAAGAAAATTTTGCCATGGGAATCCAGAAGTCCTGGTTTCTAGTATACATAAGTCTATGTCATTATGGTGTCCCTACTGCTATAGATTATATTGCTTAGTATTTTTTCTTAAACAAAATATGCTATCAGAAGTCAAATGAGATAATGGAGAGATGAGTCCATTTAATTTTTGGATATTTGAGCTTGTAAAATTGAAAATAAATTATTTAATATCAGGATTCTATTTTTGTTAATGTTACTACTACAATGAAGTGTCATTACTTTGGTTGAATTAGGTCATTTTTAGACCCTCATTTCCTGGTGTATGCATACAACAAATCAGGAACATTGTATCCAGATTCTTCACTTATAAAGGTAAGTTTTCCTTTATGCTCTGTAGATTTACTTTTTTTTATTTCATCAAGGTGCCATTGGCAGAAGAAAAATAATGCTTTCTACCCCACAGAATTATTGGGCAAGCAGTCAGAAGCCCAAATATAATGTGTCAATTACTATGAAGGCAGATGGAACAGAACAACTGCTTTTCAAATTTGGAACTCAGGAACCTCCTATCCTAAAAAGGTCTTTTAAACCATCAGAAGTATTAGTAGGGGTCTGAGAGAGAAAGAAAGTGGGTTAAGGAGCTAAGAATAAGAAGCCCCTAAATACAGATTCATTTTAATTGAAATGTCATAGGACCTGAGCTGTGGAGGAAGTGGTGGAAATTATTTTGTGGAAAGACCTTATAGAAAGAACTGCCTTATAGAAAGGAAAGTGAGGATGCAAAAGTATGTTGGGTACAGAATCTGAATAGGTTCACATGTGAAACATAGGAGTTTGCATTGTATCCCAAAATGTAGATAGGAGTCAAGAACTTTTTTAAAAAGATTTATTTATTTATTTATTTAAGAGAGAGAGAGAGATCATGAGCAGGGGGGAAGGGTAGAGGGAGAAGCAGACTCCCTGCTGAGCAGGGAGCATGATGAGGGACTCCATTCCAGGAATTTGGGATCATGACCTGAACCAAATGCAGACGCTTAACTGACTGAACCACCTAGGCATCCAGGAGTCAAGAAATTTTTAAGTGTGTAAGAAAGTTGACTTTAGTCTATGAGATATTTATTTTGTGAGAAGAGATTGGAAAGAAGTAAATGCAAGTGAAGGGTCAGATTCTATTGCTGTATTGCAATTGAGAGATAATGAAATTAAAAATAAAGTAACTAGTACAACATTGTCTTTGTCAGCATCTGCAGGTAGAAAGCAGAACAAAATACATGAGACACCTGTTTGGAGACATTTGACAATAGGCAGGTCAGAATTTTTTTTCCTCTGATAGAAAAGAAAGCCCAGAAGGTGAGTCACATTCAACTTTGTCCTTCTGACTGAGGATAAAGTCTTAACCATAGCATAGGGGGTTGGAACCAAACGGAACTTGAAGAGTTTGCAGTTCAGAGCTGCTGAAGCAGCTGGAACTGGCCTAACACAGGACCGGTGAAGAGGCCATCAGATGTATGATTTTTTTGCAGGGAGGGGAGCTGTCCTTATACCCTTGACTAAATATTAGGCTGCCTGTGTGCTGGCTAAGACTCTACTGAAGAGCAGAGAGTAAAATGGAGGTAATACTGTCAAATAGTGTTGGGAGATGTTGGATTTTCAGCCTGGGCAGAGTAGAGTGACTTTGCTAAAACCCCAGACATTCAGCTGAGACCAGAAACGCTAATCCTTAGGAGGAAGAATCAAGCTCTAAGGTAGGAGATACTCTTATCACCTCCGTTCCCTACCCCAAGGCCTAACTAAAACTCAGACAAGAGGATTAAGGAAGGTTGCCATTAAATTAATTGCCTTCCAATACAAAATGCAATACTCTGTAAAGGGTTAAAACATAGTAGAGGAAGGAAAAAATGTAGATAAGGGTAAAATCAATGAGAGAGAAAAAGGAAAAAAAATAGAAAAAAATTAAAGCCCAGAATTTAGTTCTTTAAAAGGACAAAAACTTTAATAACTCCTAGTAAGACTGATCTAGGACAAAAACAATTTCCATCAATATTAGGGATGAAGGGAGATATGATTAGTCATACAGAAGATAAAATGATATTTTGAAGTATTATGAAAACTTTATGTCAACCGATTTGGTAATTTAGATGAAATGGACAACTTCCCTGAAAAGGGCAACTTACCAAAATTGAGGGGAGAAGTAATAGAAAATCTTAATCACTTGAAATCTATTTAAAAAATTGAATTTCTAAACAACTACATTCCCATACAAGGTTTAGATATTTTCACACTTTACCTATTGAGAGATATTATGGTTGTTTCCAATTTAGCTGTTAAAAATAATGTTTCTATGAACATTCATATTTATTTTTAAATTTTTATTTTAATTCACTTTAGTTAACATATACTATATTACTAGTTTCAGGAGTAGAATTTAGTGATTCATCAGTTGCATATAATTGCTGGGCTCATCACATCAAGTGCCCTCCTTAGTGCCCATCACCTGGTTACCCCATACCCCACCGACTTCTCCAGCAACACTGTTTATTTTTTATTTATTTATTTATTTATTTATTTATTTAATATTTTGTTTATTTATTTGACAGAGAGAGACACAGCAAGAGAGACACAGCGAGAGAGGGAACACAAGCAGGGGGAGTGGGAGAGGGAGAAGCAGGCTTCCCGCGGAGCAGGGAGCCCGATGCCGGGCTCAATCCCAGGACCCTGGGACCATGACCTGAGCCGAAGGCAGATGCTTAATGACTGAGCCACCCAGGCGCCCTGTTTGTTTAATTACTAAACTTTTTCTGAGTAGCTCTACCATTTTACATTTCCACTGCCAATGTATGAGAAATAAAGAGTGCATCTATGCCACGACTTGGTATTATCACAATTTTTTTTTTATTTTTAGCCATTGTGATAGATGTATAGTGATTTTCTTATTTAATTTTGATTTGCATTTTCCTAATGACCTGTGATGTTGAACATATTTTCATGTGCTTGTCATTTTCTGTGAAATGTCTTTTAATATCTTTTACCCTTTTTCTAATTGGATTGGTTGGTTTTTTACTGTTGATTTTTGACCAATTTATGTGTTCTAAATACAAGTCCTTTGCCAGGTATGTGATTTGCTAATATTTATTTCCAGTCTGTAATTTATCTTTTCATCCTCTTCATAAGGAATCTCATTGATCAGAAGTTTTTAATTTTGATGAGGGTTAATTTATCAACTTTCCCTTTTATGTATGGTGAGATTGAATTTAAGAACTCCATATATCAAACCTAAGAACTCCATATATCTTTAGTTCTTAGAGATTCTGTTTTTTTCCTAAAATTTTTATAGTTTTATTTATATTTAATTGTATGTTCACTTTCATATAGCTTTGTATAGGGTGTGTGATTTGAATCCAGTTTCATTTTTTTGACTGAGGATATGTATTTGTTTCAACATCATCGATAGAAAAGGCTATTCTGCATTAAACTGCTCTTGCATCTTTGTCAGAAAGTCAGTGGGACATATTTTTGTGGATATATTTCTGGGTTCTTCATTCTGTTCAATTATTTTTTGTGTCTATAATTCTGGCACTATCATGCTGTCTTCTTTAGTTTACCTGCATATTAAACTTTATGTAAACTATAGTGATTCCTCCCACTTTATTCTTATTTTTCAAGATTTTTAGACTATTCTAGATATTTTGCTTTTTCATATAAATTTTAGACTAAACTTCTCTATGTATACAAACAAACTTGCTAGGGTCGTGATAGACGTGTCAAACCTATACATCGGTTTGGGGACAACTGACATCTTCACTATATTGAGTCTTCTAATCCATGAATTCAGTCAGTCTCTCCATTTGTTTGGTCTTTATGTGCCTTTTATTAGCATTTTGTAATTTTAGTGTTTGGATTCTGTACATATTTTTTTAGGCTTATACCAAAGTATTTCATTTTCTTTGAAGCGATTGTAAATGGTATTGTATTTTAATTTCAGTTTTTATATGCTTGATATTATCTAGAAATGCATTTTGTTTTAATCTCATGTCCTACAAAATTGCTGAATACATATTAATTCTATGATGATTTTTTGTTTTCTTTTTTTTGGTAGAGTCTTTGAGATTTTCTACATAGACTTGTCATTTACAGATATGAACGCTTTTCTTTTTTTAATTTTCATTCTGTGTGCTTTTATTCTCTGCTTTGCCTTTCTGTGCTTGCTACAACTTCCAGTACTGTGTTGAATCACAGGAGTGAGGGCAACACCCTCATTTGTTCCCAGTCTTAAGGATAAATTATTTACTCTTTTGCCATTTAGGATAATGTTAGTTGTAGGGTTGTTTTTAAACATACTCTTTATAAAGTTGAGGACATTCTCCATTTCTAGTTTGCTAAGATTTTTTTTTTACATCAAAGTGTGTGTGTTTCATTTTAGCAAATGATTTTTCTGCCTCAGTTGATAAGATCACATAAATCTTTTTCAGCCTGTTGATATGACAGATTGCACTGACTGACGTCCAAATATTGAAAACAGTATTGCATATTTAGAAAAGCTACAACTTGGTCCTGCTATGTAATCCTTTTTATTCATAACTGGGCTTATTTACTAACAATTTCTTGGTTTTGTCGTTGCTGTCGAAGTTTGTGAGAAGTGTTGTTCTGTGGCCTTGTTTTTTTTGTACTGTCTAGTTTTTGTATTAGGCTAAAAAATTAAATTGGGAAGTATTCTATTCTATTTTCTGGAAGAAGTTGTGTAAAGTACACAGTAATTCTTAAGATATTTGATAAAATTCTTCTGTGAAGTCACTGGGGATTTGTGTGTGTGGGAGAGAGGAGATTTCTAATTACCAGTTAGTTTATTTAATAGTTATAGGAATATCTTGTTTATCTGTTTCATATGTATTGTTTGTGGTTTTTAAGGAATCGGTTCATTCCATCTCAGGTGTGGAATTTATGGGTGTAATTTTGTCACGGTCCTTATTATCCTTTTAATGACTACAGGAATGTTTCATTTCTGACATCAATGATTGTTGTCTTCTCTCTTCTTAACTTTGTCAGTCCTGCTAGAGATTTTTCAATTTATTGAATTTATCAAAGAACCAACTTTTTCTTTCTTTTCCATACTGATGTCTTATTTTTAATGTCATAGCATTAGGTTTATTATTTTTTCCCTTATACCTTACTTGGGGTTTCCCTTATACCTTACTTTGGGTTTATTTTCCCATTCTTTTTTTTTTTTTAAGATTTTATTTATTTATTTGACAGAGAGAGAAAGAGAGAGCACAAATAGGCGGAGAGGCAGGCAGAGGGAGAGGGAGAAGCAGGCTCTCCACTGAGCAGGGAGTCAGACGTGGGGCTCGATCCCAGGACTCTGGGATCATGACCTG